TTCAGCCTCCACAAGAGAAGGCTGAGAGGGGATCTAGTGGCCTGTTACAAACTAGTCAGTGGGGACCAGCAGGCATTGGGGGAGTCCCTGTTACCCCAATCACTACCAGGAGTGACTAGAAATAATGGTCACAAGCTGGCAGAGGGTAAATTCAGACTAGATATCAGGAGGCGCTACTTCACTGTCAGGGCGGCTAGGATCTGGAACCAACTTCCAAGCAAAGTCCTGCTGGCTCCTACCCTGGGGGTCTTTAAGACAAGGCTAGATAATCACCTTGCTGGGGTCAATTGACCCTAGTACTCTTTCCTGCCATGGCAGGGGGCCAGACTTGATGATCTGCTCAGGTCCCTTTCGACCCTACCAACTATGAAAGTAAGTGCAGTACCCCAGGGCTCAGTCTTGGGGCCGGTTTTGTTCAATGTCTTCATGAGCAACTTGGATGACATTGGGAGTACACCTTCAGCAAGCTTGCAGATGACACCAAGGTGGAGGGAGTAGATACACTGCAGGGTAGGGCTAGGATTCAGAGTGACCTAGACAGATTGGAGGATTGGGCCAAAAGAAATCCCGTGAGGTTCAACGAGAACAAGTGCAGAGTCCCTGCACTTAGGACAGAACAATCCCCTGCACTGGTACAGGCTGGGGATTGACTGGATGGGCAGCAGCTCTGCAGAAAAGGACCTTGGGATTACAGTGGACAATAAGCTGAATACTAGCCAGCAATGTGCCCTTGTTGCCAAGAAGGCTAATGGCATACTGGGCTGCATTGGTAGGTGTGTTGTCCGTAGGTCCAGGGAAGTGATTATTCCCTTCTCTTCAGCACTGGTGAGGCCACATCTGGAGTACTGAGTTCAGTTTTGCACCCCCTTCCCTACAGAAAGGATGTGGACAAATTGGAGAGAGTCCAGTAGAGGGCAGCAAAAATGTTTTGGAGGCTGGAGGACATGACTTATGAGGAGAGACTATGGGAACTGAGCTTATTTAGTCTAGAGCAGAAGAGAAAGAGGTGATTTAATAGCAGCCTTCAACTGCCTGAGGGGGTGTTCAGAAGAGGAGGGAGCTAGACTGTTCTCAGTGGTGGCAGATGACAGACAAAGAGCAGTGGTCTCAAGTTACAGTAAGGGAAGTTTTAGGTTAGATATTAGGAAGAATTTTTTCACTGGGAGGGTAGTAAAACACTGGAACAGGCTACCCAGAGAGGTGGTGGAATCTCTATCCTTGGAGGTTTTTAAGACTCTGCTTGACATAGTTTTGGCTGGGATTATCTAGTTGGGGCTGGTTCTGCTTTGAGCAGGGGGTTGGACTAGTTGGTCTCCCTCTTCCCACCTGCTAAGAGCCACATGTGACCCCTGGCATCCTAGAGCCTCACATCCATGCTGAGTACCCACTTCTCTCTTCTCTCTGCAGCTGGACCAGTGTCTCCAGGAGGATTTCCCCATCTACAAATCCTTCCGCTTCAAGGGCAGCATTGGGCCACTGCGCCTGCATCTGGTGGCTGCTGGGGCCTTTGCAGAGCTGCGGGGAGTCATGGGTGCCCCAGCCCCCATGGCCAGAGTCCTGCGGGAGAGGCACCTGCTTGACTTCATCCAGAGCAGAATCATCTCCTGAGGCAGCTGCTGAGGAGCCCAGCCATTCTTGGGCACCTTGCCATAGCTTTCCTATCACCCGTGCTCGCTTGCCACTGCAGTGGTGCAGAGGAAGGAACACTGGTGTGGGGCCTAGGCAAGGGCTGTGTTCCAGAGTGAGGAGGGCAGGAGGCTGCAGTGTCTAGAATAGGAGAGGTGGGTGCTGTTTCTCCCCATGCTGCTGCTGAGAGGGGTGTATGGGGCCAGGGAACTATGGTGTCTCCAGCAGGTTAGCTTTTGCACCACAAAGCCTGAGTGGGTGAACAGGCAGCCCCTGCCTGCAGCACAAGTGTGTTGGGGGTGGTGCAGTCAGGTACAGTGGAGGCGTGGCCGGATCTGGCCCCTTGAGTGAGCTCTGCCCAGAAGCACCAGCCTGCCCAGCTTGGGCACTGCCAAGTACAAGTGTCTCAAGGTCCAGCTTGGACACTGAAGCTTGGTGAGGCAGCTCTGCTAGCTATGGATGGCATCTGTCCAGCTCACCCACTAGGGGGCACCAGCAGCCAGTTCAGCTTCTCCGGTTCTTAGCACTGAGCTGGGTTATCTCAGGAGAGGCTGCTCTTCCCTGGAGTCAGCCCCTCTCCAGACATTTCACATTTGGGGGAACTGAGGCATGTGGCTAAGGGCTTTGCCTGTGGTTGGTCAGGGAGCCTGAGGCAGAGTCAGGATCTGACCTCAGCTTTCCCTCTGCCCAGCCTAGAGCCTGACCCCTCCCTCTCTCTGGCTGGCTGGGCTGGGCTGGCTGTGGGGGAGCTGCTGCCTGGAAAGGGATTAGGGCTGAGGAAGAGAGAGCTGCTCTGGTCCTGCTGGGCTCTGCTCTCCCTCTCTCTGGTTTTGTACTTTAATACTGCTGAACTGTTTCCCCCCCCCCCAATGTTTTGCTTGTGCCTTTTGCTCAGTCCTGCTCTTGTAGCCCTTGAGTGCAGCACCCCAGGGGCAAGGTACAGTTGCTGCAGAAGAGTGACCAGCAGGGAGGTGAGATAGTAGTCAAGCCTTTGGACTAGCCCTCCTCATTTAGGAGAAAAGTACCCATTGGCTTCATTGTCTTCACAGTCCAGACAGGCCCTTGGCTTTGTATACATAGGCCCAACAGCTCTCTGCCCAGAGAACACACTTGATCTTCGTGGCTTGGAGAAGCTGATGCCACGGTGTGTGCAGGGCAGCAGTGGGTGGCACTTCTACTTCCAGCATATCTTCTCTGCTATGGGGGGCCCTATGCTCTGCTGGGAACCTTGGCCACAAGGCCAGCTCTGCGTAGGGGCAGCTAGCCCAACTTCCTTTGGGATCTGAACTGGTCTTTGAAGCATGGGGGCTGGAGGTTTCAGGGCTGTGGGTACCAGCTGCTGTGTGCCTTGCCCATAAGCCCTGCTCCAGCAGGGGCTGCTTTTAACGTTGAAAAAATAGAAGCACAATAAAGATGGATTATGTCTGACAACATCACTGCGTGCAGGGTCATGCTCCCTGATTTGAGGGCTTTTTTTTTTTTTTTTTAATTCCCATTAAGAGATTTCTTGATTGAAGCTTGGATTAAAAAGCCCACAGGGCTGTTCCACCCATTGCCGTTGCTGCAGAGGAAGACCACGCCATGAATATTTAACCAGCTCCCCTCTGCCCGGGGGGGCTCTGGGACTGTATAGCTGCTGAGAGGCAAAGGAACTGGGCCTTTCTAGTAGCTTGTGATGGTTCAGGCCAGCGGGCTTCTGAGCTGTGGCACAGAGGGAGCCTGCTGGGTACGCAGCTGTTTGCAGGGTTGGGAAGAGGGAGACTGGGGCAGGAGGTTTTGTCTCCAAAAGAAGTGTGCACAAAAGGCCTCCCCTGCCATGCTGCCTAAGCTACTCCATCAGGCATAGCAAGCACATGGGGAAAACAACCTATTTTCCAGCTCCTGCCCACCCGTGAGCCCTCGTTGGAAGGAAAGTATGAAGCAAGATTTGGAGGGGTGGGGGTGGAGGGAGGAAGAGAATGTCTTTCATGTGTGTGCCCCCCAGAGCGCTCAGGCTGGGAGGGAGCGGGGCTTGGGTTTCTGCTCCAAGCTGGAAGGTCTGTTCACATTCCAGCTTGTATTGAGCTTTCTCTGTCCCCAGCTGTGCATGATACATGTGGCTTAGTTTAAAGGCCTTTGAATGGTTGCTGGGTAAATATTTGGATTGTGAAGGTGGGCTCTGGAAGAAGGCTGTGCACACTAACCCCTTAGGAGCTGCTGGGCCTGAAGGATGGGACTAGCTGGAGCGAGCTGCATGTGAGAGCTTGGGTCTTCTTGTTGGACTGCTCAGGGAATTGTTATTTAACAGGTCCTGCGGGTCCCAGCAAATACAGTGTCTGCAGGATGCTTTCCTAGTGCTGCAGGCATAGATTTCTGTAGCTCCCCCTGGCAGATTTGCAGTGGGTGGGGTGTACCCAGCCCCGATCCCAAGCCTCCTCTGACTGAGCCCAAACCTACTGCCAGGAAGGTTTAGCACTAGGAGACTGAGGGCCAAGGCCAGGCCCTTGCTGCCATGGAATGTGAGCATCAGAGTAATCCCAGGCTGGCTCATGGGGGTGGGGCCCTGCAGGCTTCAGCCCTGAGACAGAGCCTGGGCCTAGGCACATTTCCTGTGGTCAGCAGTATGGGAGGCAGCTGGTGGGCCAGAGCTGGAAGGCCTGTCTGCTCTGGGCTTTATCTTAAATCCACAGGGGCAGTTAGCAAGGAGAGGTTTAAGGGAAAGTGTGTGCAGGGAGAGCTCTGGCCAGGTTCCTGAACATGCACAGACAGTATGTGCACAGGCCTTACACAAGCACCAGCCTTGTTGGGGTCTTACTGCCCTGCCCAGCTGTGCTGTTCCGTGCCCTCCAAGCCAAAGTCCAAGTTTGTTGCGAGTGGTCACAGAACGTCCCACACAGCCCTGTAGTGTCCCTTGCGGCCTGGCTCCTCCATTCTCTCAGCTGGAGTGTGCTGGTAGCTTCCTTCTGCCAAAGTCTATGCAAGTCAGAGCTGCCAGGCCTCTGGCTCCTGGGTCGTTTGCTTGTCCTTGAGTGGGGCTGTTTGTGTGTCTGAGCTGGCATGGACGCTCTGTCCCCTACCGTTCCACACGCGTGCAGAACTGGGAGGTGCTTGACTTTACCTCCAATCTGGTGCTTTCCTCCATGTGTGCTCTGCAGCCGCTCCAGCTGGGGAATGCTGGGGCTCATGCTTATTTGACTCCTGGGTGCACCTGTGTGCTGTATGGCCTGGCAGGTTATCCTAGCGCTGCTGTGTGTCCCCCACCTTCTTTTCCTGTGAGGCTGTCCTGGCTGTGCTGCCAATTATAAAGTGGTGGGGCTCTGCTCAGATTTTATGATCTCATTAGTCCTCCCTCCACAGAACTGCCTGTCATGTAATCAATGGAGAATCACAAATTGCAGCATTTTAGGCCTAATGCTGGGGCTGCCATAACTGCTCACATGGGACAATTAGCTGATGCTGCCAGGACAGAGAGTGCTGCTTTTAAGTGCCTGGTCCTGCTGGACTCCATGTTGATTTGCAAAGCCCTTACAAGCTTTCCTTATTAAGGGTACATGCCTAACAGTGCTGCCCAGAGATGCCAGCTGAGGTCTGGCTCCTGCATTTGCTTAGGTCCTGCCCAAGATGGAGGCCCCACCGGGCTGAGCACTGCCCAGAAGACCTACTTTGGGGGTTAGCTCCAGTGCAAAGATCTCACAGCCTGAATCAATAGTTCTCAACCTTGTGGGACTAGAGGCACCCCTCCCTGCCTTCTGGGAATTGAGTGGCACCTGGGTCCCAAAGCTAATTTCTTTATTACCACGTTTACCTCCTTGGGGGGTGGGTATCCAAGCAGGGACAAGCCTGAGCCTGCACCTGGGATCTCTTGAGCATATATTGACAACCTTTCATAGAGGCAGGACAGTGGCTGCTGTGGTTCCCTTGCTTTAGGGTGTTAGGTTTGGGACTGCCTGGCCACTGTGCTGCTGAGGCAAGAGACCCGGGCCTCTCCAGTACCTTGTGAAGTTTCAGGCCAGCGGGCTCCTGAGCTGTGGCACGGAGGGAGCCTGCTGGGCATGCTGCTGTTTGCAAGGTTGAGGAGAAGGAGGCCAGAAGCGTGAGGCTTTGTCTCCAAAAGAAACGTGCGCACGTGTGTCAGGGTTGACAGCAGTCTTACTTAGGGCTTACATTACGGGTCCTACCGGCTGGTTTAGACAGGGCAGTTCCAGCCTCAGGCCAGGCGTTGGACCAGACCTCTGGAGATCCCTTCCAGCCCTACGTCTCGGTGGGGCCTGCTACCTCTTCCAACACAAGGGGGAGAGGCAGCAGCTCCGGAGCTGTTACCCGTTGCCTTTGGAGCCGCGTGACTCCTCACAGAGCCGGGCTAGTGGTTTTTTGCCACGAGACGACGCCTCGGTGGGGCCGGGCTCCGTTTCTTGCGGAGGGGGCCATCCTGTCCCCCAGGCCTGCGCTTCTCCCCCTCACGCCTGGCCCCTGTGTCGTGGGGGCGCCCTTCCCAGCGCCTCAGGCCTGGCGCCGGCGGGGCCGCCTGGGGCAGGGGCAAGGCGCGGGGCTGCGGGGTCGGGCCGAGCCGAGCCGCCGAGGC